GGAAATGTAAGACTAGTGTATCTGGAAGAGATAAAAATACAAAAACAAAACAACAACCAAACCTGGGGGTAGTGGCAGATGCCTTCAATCACAGCACTTGGGAGGCAGACCTCTGTGAGTTCGAGGCCAGCCTCATCTTCATAGTGAATTCCAGGACAGCCAGTGCTACACAGTGAGACCCCATCTCGAAAGAAACCCCAAAAGCCAAAAACAAAACAAGGACCCCAAAGCAAACAAACAAAAAACAAAACAACAAACAAAACAAAATAACCACCAAGAAATGCCCGAGTGGACAGGAGTGGCTTGTAGCAGAGGTTTCTGAGGGCCACACCTGAGCCTTGGGATCCAGTCGTTCCCTTTCCCACTTTCAGAAGTCAGTGAACCAGGTGCTGAGGCAGAGATGCTACACACAGGACTGCATCTCCTGCTACCGGGAATCTGCGTCTGCACAGCACAGCATGGAGCTCATTTGGGTGAAAGGGTTGATAGAATTAGAGGAAACAAAAATTCCTTTATTCAATATTTATGCCATTACTATTTTAAAAATTATTAGAAGACATTCAGTGTAAAGAAAGGCTGGGCTTTACCTGGACGTTTCCAGGTACATACTTTGTGCACTTCATATTCAGCCTCTCGTTTGCCTGTCCTCTCCTTCCACTGGTGTTGCCTCCTCCCAAACAAGTCCTCTTCTTTCATGTCTTGTACTTTTAAAGTACAGATTCTACACACAAGAGAAAACTCTTTCTGAGCCTGGCTTTTTTCTCCAAGTATGATGATTTCCAGTTTCATCCACTTTCCCACAAATTAAAGTCTCTTTTAAGAATCCTATTTATTTGTTTTCACTCATTGGGGTGTTTTGCCTGCATGTATGTCTGTGTACTGTGAGCATGTCTGAGCATTACCTCTAGAGGCAATAAGAGAGTGTCAGATCCCCTGGAACTGGAGCTACATATGGTTGTGAGCTGCCCTACTGGTGCTAGGAATTGATCCCGGGTCCCCTAGAAAATCAGTCAGTTCTCTTAACAAGTGAGCCATCTCTCTAGCCCCAAAAGAGTCTCCTTTCTATGATTACTATTTACTTTTTAGCATAAATGCCTTTGTTCTGAAACAAAAAAACAGGTTTCTAGAAGGTAAATTTTGTAACTCAAGTAATGTCTGATTAAATCATGTCAGGTCATCTGACAAACATTTGTCAATTGGTTTTCAAACATCTAAAAGATCTAAGAGGCAATAACTGGTACATTGGTACATTCAAACATTTTTAGATCTTTCAGATTTTAAATTCTGGGAAAGCAAGACCTTAGTCTAATCTTACTTTTTCCCCTGTTGGGTGCAATATAGCACAATAAATATGATAGACCACTCACAATATAGTCATCTTTACCTGATAGACAATTCATGTTTAATAGTGATTCATCTTGTCAGACACTTCTACTCAGAATTCATTATGAATGACACATACCTTAAACAATGTAAAGACCCCGACCCCCCAGAAATCAGCCAAGCTCCATTAACAGTGTGTGGCATATCACTGAATTTGTTCAGTGTTCCTGCGGACAAATTTTACTTTCACTTAACCTTGCTTTTAATAAACTGTTTTTCTTATATGTGAATTTTGAGTGAAAGCTGTTTGATGATTCATGATGAAACTTTACAAAACACCCACACTGACTGTTTTCAGCTGTTCTATTGACTCTGAGGCTCTTCTGAAGCAGCTGACCAGGTGTCCCTGCGACATAACATATAGCTGCATACTCAAAACCACAGGCCTTTAAAGACAGACAGGTCCATGGAAGGGCAGTTACAGAGCTTTGATAAAGAAAGGAATGGGCATTGAATACTTATGCACATCGAACTTGGTATCATTCAGTGCTCACAGTTACCCCAAGAAACAAGAAACCAAAGACCACAAAGGTTAAATAACTTCTCCAGGACCACCCAGCTTGTAAAGAGCTGCATTAGGATTTGAAATCAAGCCTTTGTGACTTCAAGGACTATTCTCTCTTTATCACCCTGGTCTTATAGTTAAAAGAAATGTTTAAAATATCACGGGGGCTGGGAACATTAGTAGAATACTGGCTTAGCATGTGCATAAGGCTCTCTGTTCCATATTTAGCAACACACACACACACAGAGAAAATAATCACACAAATTTCTCAGATATTAGCAACTCAGTTTCATCATTATACAAGGATGAATGAAAGCTGTGGCTTTATGGAAGGCGGTGCCTGCCTGATCATACAATATCAGATCAAATCAGGTTTGCCTCTGGAAAATAGTGAGGTGCCCACAAAGCAGTCTCTCTGGAAGAGTAAGTTACAGAAGGGAATTTCTGAGGTTCACTGAAGCAAAGCCAGGAGTGTCCCAGGGCTGTAGCCTTAACTAAGTTTTACGGACTACATACTCTGTAGTGAGTCTGAGGAGTGGTGGCATAAATGTCACTAGCTTCTCAGGGTGGCAGAAATCAGAGCACAACTGAAATGTACAGAATGCAATCGAACCACAGCTTACACATGAACTTTTCATACACACAGGAAACACCCATATCATCTAACAATTGTTGACTTGTTTTAAGTGGGAAGACAATTGTCTTTGTCCAACAGAATTTAGGCAATTGACAAGGGATTATACAATGAGCTTGCAGTCACCACCACCTAAGGGATGCAGAAACGTATGGTACTTTAACTTTTGTGTGTGTGCACATGTGCACGTTCATGTGTGTGCAAGCGACTGTGGCCACACACCTGGAGGCCAGAGGTCAACCTTGGGCAATGTTCCTCAGGAGCTCTCTACCTTGTTTTCTGACTCCTCACTGGCAGGGACCTGCCTGTCTCTGCCTCTCTAGAGTTGGCACAGGCCATCACACCTTGGTTGTCAAACCAGCGCTGGAGATCCAGCTCAGGATCTCATGCTTGTGGAGCAATTTTTTCTGAGCTATCTCAGACCACAGCCCGATTAATCCCTGTTACATGCTATGTACTATATTTACAATAGAAAAGTGATTTATCTTGCCATAATAGAGAGATCAGTAATGGTGGGCAGCGGTGGCTCACACCTTTAATTCCAGGACTCAGGAGGTGGAGGCGGGTGACTCTCCGAGTTAGATGGCAGCCTGGACTTCAGAGCAAGTTCCAGGTCAGCCAGAGCTACACAGAGAAACCCTGTCTCAAAAAACCAAGAAACCACAGCAAAGTAAACAACAAAGTAAAACTGAACTCTGTGTATTTTTGTCCACTTGCCCAAGTTACTGGTACAAATACCATTTATTTAAACGTTCAAATGTCAGAGTGGCATGTTTGTTACTCAGTCTCTTCCATTCTCATTTAGTTTGTATGAGGGAGCTCAAGGTAAGTGTAGCTCCCAAGAATCCCTAATCTGGAAGTAAATGTCCGATACACACGAATACTCAACTGGACAGCCATGCTGGTAATTTCGTAATCATTTTCATGTTTTCCTATTTTTGGTGTGCCAAGAAATAAAATCATCACTTAAGCTTTGTAGTTTCTGAGAGAAAGTTACATAAAGGACTTTGAAGTAAGCAGAATGTGTAGGAGTAAATGAGGGTCCCTCACCCTGAATTGGATTTTTTTAGACAAAAAAATAAAATAAAAATAAACACCCCCCCCAAAAAAAAAACCAAGCAAAAGTACTATTCTGTTTAAAAGCCATCTGTCTGAACAATGTCTGAGCAACTGGTTTTTACTATCACAGCCATGCAGTTTTAATCCTCTGAAGAGCAGCAGGCTGCTTGACAAGGCAACACATATACTTTGAACACTTCAATAAATACAATGTAAACATTCACTTTAATGATGTTTTCTTTGTCAACCCCAAACAGTGTGTGTTTCCCTTGCCTCTGGCTGAGCCCTGGCTAGCAGAGTAGCAACAGCAGAGCACTGGAAGAATTTTCAATACTCATCTGCCTGTTCTAATTTGCTTTTCAAGGTTGATGATCAGAATCATTACACTACTTGCAAAACAATCTGTTTCCATGAATTTCATCGAGTCACTTCTCTTGCTCTCGTATTTGGCTTCCCCAGTGGCTTCGCTAAGTTAACTGAACCAGAAGTGCTCAGTAGCACCCAGCTCTATAGCATCATACACTGATGAACTCTATCATATAGACAAACCTGCTATGACCAAAGAAAGGAAGTGTACACTAAAGTGAGGGACTCTATTCCACAGTGCATACACCACACCTTGGAGAGGAAAATGTTGCCTTCGACCAAAAATACTTTTATTAGTTGAAAAAACCTATAGAATAACAATACCAAAGCAAGTTCTACTGGGTCCTTTAAAAAACGGATCCTGTGAATCACTGTGAAATGAATCTAGGTTGCTGTAACTTTTTTTTTCTTTTTTTTTTTGGAGGGGGGGAGTTGCAGGACTTGATGTAGATTTTATTCTATGTGCAGAATTAAATGTTGGATATATTGAAAAAAAAAAAACGGATCCTGAAAGTGTCATCACTTGTGTGACTCTGAATATATTCATTATTTAACTTTATTATTTAAAAGTTGTAAATTTAAAAATTCATGTAGTCTTACTTGATACAAATTGGAAAAGCGGGGAATCATATTTCAATTGCATACTTTTTAAAAAAAGATTAATGGGAAAATTAAGGTATTCTTGAAGTTTTGAACATCCTAACTTTATATAATTCTCACTATATTTAAATATCCCCGTATTTTATTTCAGTGAGGAAAAAGTGTGCTACCGTAGGTCCAACATCTAAAGAGCCCTAGACAAAATTTTGGAAATTTCAATGGTGCAACATTCTTTGTACTAAACTCAACAATAAAACTAGCAGAGAAAGGAAATTCCCACTTTAACACTAACAATTAATAGATAACAATATAAATGGGATCACTTTTTTTTTGAAACCTGAAGTAAGCACGTGATGCTTTTAGAATAGGGAAAAACCAGTTTTAAATTATAGTCTTAATTATCTGCTTATAACCTGCAGAGGGCACTCAAGTCCCTTGGAAAAAAAGTAAAAATTTTAAGGATTAACAATTTTTAATTTTTAGAATTATCATCATTATCAGTATTTATCAAAAACAATTTTAAAGCAAAACTATCATCTGAAAAAGAACATTCAAAGGAAATGACACAGAATTTTATTTTTTATAGGTAAACCCATCTTTTCTTTCCCGGGCATTCAGCATCTGTTAAGGCTGGAACAGCATACAGGAACACAGACTTTGTCAGTTACACAAAGTATCCTGGGCCTAAGAAAAATCAGCTTATACCTCAGATTATCATGCTTACAAGGCAGGAAGCCAGTGAAGGAGTCATGTTCTTAGGTAGTCCTTCTCCAGGCTACCTAAGAACAATGTGTTACACCTATAAAGCAGGTGGTGAAGAAAAAGAAAAATCTTTACGATTTTTAGCCATTTTCTAGACATATCTAATGGGACCCTTAACAATTTTCAGTTTAATGACTTTCTTCATTATCAGGAACTATTGATGTTTGTAGAAATATCTGAAGAGACAATTTCACAATATTTTTCTTCCCCTGAAACAATGTTGGGATGGCTCACAGGTGAACTTAGCGACACAGGCATGGAATACACCGCAGAAACACACAAACACCATTGCTTATAAGCATATTCCATGATGGCATATTTTGAAATAGTAAATACTTATTGCCTATTTACTATAGGGAACAGTTAACTACTCAAATCTCAAGTTTCTTGGCAACATAACCATGGAATCTTGCCCTTTAACAGTATCGTCTACATTTTATTCTGATCACCCAAAGTATTTGAAAACGGATGATTAATTTAAATTAGAACTACAGGAGGTTACTATGTCATACACTTCTATATGCATTTGAATTGTTCTGATTTATAAATTACAAAGGTAGGAGTAAAACAAAGCGTAACAAATTACTTAAACATTAAGTTCTAATGTAGACTGCTACTAGGATGAGCCAGGATGAATGTTCTGTTTTACAAAGCTAATCATTTGTTACAAATAATTGTATGTATAGTATGTATCTTTATATTTTATAGGCCATAAAGTATACTTGAATAAATCTTTGACATCTTGCAAATACTAATATTGACAGTGATTTTAAAAAGTGATTTCTTTGAAAAACAGCATGAAACACATCTGATTTTTTTTTTTTCTTAAACTGCACAGACTATTTCAAAGTTCAAATATATGGGAGAAGGGAAAAAGTGAAAGTCAGAAAACACTTAAAAGAATGACTCTCAAGTATTTTGGTAATGATTACCACATCTGGGAAAATGAATGCAGTTATTATTTTAGCGAGACTATGAGGATCTACTTCCTCAAGAAAAGAAAAACTAACAAGACTGTTTGCTTCACGTGTCCTTAACTGGATTTCTGCACTATGCAGTATTTTTTAGTTTTGTTAGGAATGGCTGGGGAGATGGAACTGCTGTCTCATGAAACAAGTGTTTTCTCAGCATAACTGTAGCCACTCCTTTGATTCTTGGGTTATCTGGGGGCAGTAAGCATGCACTCTAGCACATGAAACAAAACAAGAAGTTGTATTTGGATTGCAGCCTTTGTTTTTTTCTCCTTTCAAAGCCTATGATTCTTAATATCATTGTTAGGCAGAGCAAAAAAGAAGTGTTTGCTTTCTTATATAAGAAATAAACTTCATTTGGTATTCAATTGACTTTCTAACTTAGACAGGACTTTACATCTTCAAAAACTGAGAATAAATTGCATTCTTGGCCCTTGCTTTAAAAGGTTATAGAGAATAAACGCACAGGCTGGTAGTGTTCTAGTGATCTCCCTAATCTCAGTTGCACTTTGTCAGAACGAGGTAACTGGTAGTTAAGTGAAATACCCTAGATCAAAGGGGGATTAATCACCCACTGAATCCTTGCTGAATCAACCTGTCATTCAAGAAAATTATTTCCACGGAACTTAGCAGAGGATTGAAGGTATTTGCATAACAGCAACCAACATACTTCAGCCAGGTTAAAAGGTTCAGAATTCATCCCATGTTTAGCTTTTTGCCTCCTTTTCCTTTCAGCAGCCTGGTACAATGGTTTCTAATCTGATAATACAGCTAACTATCTAAATGATGTCAGAACAGGAAAGTATTGCAAAGTTTGGATGAGGGATGGATCAATTTCACTTTCAGCAACTTCTAAATCTGATTTGTTGGAATTTAAGATGTAATCCTAAAAAGTCCCTTAAACCTGAGGACTGTTTATTAACATCCCTTTTTTGACCTCTGTCTTATAAACAACTCTTCTGTTAGGGCAGCAGGCAGTCCCTGCAGAGGTTTTGGATGGGAACTCCACCTGTCTACCTCCCAGGAGTACTGTAGGAATCTATGAATGATTGTTAAGATTTTTAAATATTGTAATAAACAAAAACAACAAAACAGAAAAAAAAACAGCAATAGTTACTATGTGCAAAATATCTACTGTTAAAACATAGCACAAGAATTCTAAGACCATAATTTTCAACAGTATAAATACTGGGATGGCATGGAAGAAGAAAATGGTTTTGAAAGAGGCTAAGATTTAAATAAAACTAAATACTCCTAAAACTCTTGAGGAGTCGAACTGCTTCCAAGTTGACAGGTTCAATTATTTTAACAGTATAAACATCCCCACTGTCTAGCTACTGAATTGTGGTCTTTTAAATATTGCTTGTAAAACAAAACAAAACAAAAAAATGGAGAACAGGATTTACCCAAATCATGACCCATCTTTTCTAGAGTTCATTCTCAGATATTTAAAAACTTTTTTTTAACCCTTTGGGTTGAGAAAGAATAATTACTGCACATATATCACATTTCATAATCATATTTTGTCACTAAAAAGGACTTTGGCACTCCTGCATCTAGAGCAGGTCTGACACCATCCAAATCTCTCACTGGAAGTCGATGCTCACATTCACTGCACATGCAAAGCACCTTTCAAGTTAAAAAAAAAAAAATGCAAAGAATAGCTATCAAAGAAAATGAATAAAATCCATAGTGAGATAATTTTTTAGAAAATGATTGAAGTTTTAACCAAAGAAAGGACTCTTAGAGTGTCTTATAGCTTAGAATAAGAACATGTCAATCACGATTAAGCTTCTGGAATCGGAATCCCTTTGAAATGCAGCTGTTTCTTCTTTAATTGTGGCAGTGGACTCTGAAGAAAAGAAAGGTCCAGCCTTAAAGATGAGTAAGGAATACAAAATAGCTCAGGATTAGTTGTGGAGTTCAAAGGTCGCTAATTACACTAAGGAGTTCCCAGACACAGGGAAACATTAAACAGGTCACCTACCAAACCGGGAACAAGCTCTGTCCTTAAAAATTATCCTGAAGTGACAGGTTTCTAGACAAAATCAAAAGCATCAGTGTGTCCAGCTGATCTCAATGGGATGAAAACGTAGGCTGGCTGTTAGTTCCCCAGTGTTGTGTTAGAACGGAACAGCAACAGATGGCCTTGGTTCCCCATCACCCCCATGCTTTTCTAGTAACCCCTAGATTTTCCCCAGGTTTCTAGAAGTGTCAAATTAGAGGTCACTGTTTTTCTAATTTGTTTATGAAGAGAGTTTGCCTCAAGGATTATATATTAAATCTTTCCATACTCACTAGATAAATGTGTCTTGTGTACCTTAGTATAATTTGCCAAGTATTTGTATAATCAACATTCCCAAACGGCTCCATTAATAAATTAAAATGTTAAGCTTTGAGTTGAAGAGTAATAAAGAACCATTATGGAACAGTGTTTTCTCACAAAAGAAGTTTTCACCACTGACTCCCTCTGGGCAAGCCAGGGTAGTCTTAAAGTCCTGGCCAGGCAGTTCCTCTCTTCTATTTGCTCAGGGTGACTGTGAAAATAGAACTTTATTCTAGGATAATACTTTGCAGGCAATGAGGGCTTATAATGAGCAGGACTGACCCTAATTTTAAAAAAAAAATGTATTACAAGTCCTAAATTTATATACACTTTCTTTTCAATAATTATAACTCTCTTTTTAAGAATTAGCAGCCTTTCCTAAGCCTTTTTTAAGAAGACTCATTAAAAAAAAAAAGAAACAAAGAAAAGAAACAGAACCTAGGATAAGTGTAATTAAATATTAATCTCCTAATTCATATTTTTTTGTCAAGCTTCTAAATTTGGCTTGTTAAGTTCCCAGGATCTTTCGATTTCTTTCTATCTCTCTCTCATTTAATGGTCACTTAAAGTATAACTTGATGACAATATACTGTTCTGAAAACAGAATATGATGTTTAATAGTAGAATGGGTAGAAGATAAAGAGCATGGCTAGATGGTGTTGAAGAAAAAAAATGGCAAAAAGAAAACGACAGGGATAGACTTAAAGAAAAGAAAATGCTATATAAAAATAAGTGCAAATGATACTTTTTATCCACAGAAAGGCTTTTGAGTATTTACCTGAGTTCATTCATTAACAGATTTTAATTAATCCAATAGTATAACACATAAAAATTATTTTAAAAACCTTGTCCAATGACACTTTTCATAGCTCACTATGCTCATCTTCCTTAAGTCTACTGGCATCCTAAACACACATCATTCTGTCAGATTATTAAGTTCAGGAGTTAGGGTCGTAGTTCAGGTGGTAGGAGCTTGCCTGGCATGCATGATGCCCTGAGTTCAATCCCTAAAAGGGCATAAACTGGATTTGGTGATACACCACTGTAATTTGGTGATACACCACCAGCACTTGAGAGAGTTCAAGGCCATCCTCAGCTACACACTGAGACCCAGGCCAGCCTGGGCTCCATGAGACTCTGTCTCTGAAAGGAAGTATTTCTACAACATCAACTAGAATTATGCAGGTTCTTCATTGGCCAGTAGAGAGTTGTGATGAAGAATGGGTTACTTCTTGAACATTATCCCATTATTTCCACTGGTTGCACTTTGAAAGAAACGATTTATGATGATTTTAACCAGATCGTGGGTATTCTGTAATAGCATGTTTGGTACTGAGGTTTGAATAAGCATATGGTTTCCTTGTTGAAAACTGCACTAGGAGAAAGCTGAGCTCTTACTCAAGGAAAGGGCTCTGCTTGATTTGCACTGTCTTGCCATGGGAATAGGACATGGCATGGAGATCAAAGACTGGTCTTAAGCTAAAGTGCATATATATTCTGAGTCATACTGGCATGAATCAGAGGGCAACAAAAAACGTATCAGTCTCTCTCTCTATATATATATATATAAGATATGACTTTTGATAAATCACATTGATTTTTTTTCATTCACAGGTTATATGAATACATGTAGCACATAAAAATACTATGATTCTACTACAGAATGCTAACATCATATAAATCCCCTTTGAATATGAGAAAATCATGGTAACAATGATGCATATGTTACTGGAGCAGGAGCTTTAGAATTCCAGATGTAATAATCAGAAGAAATTAGTTTCCGATCTACAAAAGGAAAAAGAAAAGAAATTAACGATTAAAATGTTTAACCTTAGCAAAAACTCAATATAAGAGTAAACCTTTCAGTTTCTGAATCTGTGGAGTATAGTCATATCATGGTAACAATTTTGAAATATATTACTCTTTAGGTTTTATTCCAACTTATGTCCCATTAAATTGAGCTCATAAATATTTGGGCAAACCACACTAGACCTTATATAAAATATTTCTCATTTACACCAAGTACTTATTTTCCCTACATCTCTAATTATATTTCTAATGAACCATTACTTTATTGTAAAAACATTTCACCATTTCTTCCTGGTTTTTCTTTTTTCTTTCTTTTTTTTTTTTTAACAGATCTTGCCTCAGGTTTATTTGTAAAAACAGCATAGGACACTGGTCATCTGTAAATAGTGTGTAGGTGGGTGTGTCACACCAGTCCATCTGTCTTCACATTAGTAGAACTATTTCCTACAGGGCCTTCACAGGGGCCTGGGCACCTTTGGGAGCCTGAGCTGGAGCTGGAGCTGGAGCTGGAGCTGGAGCTGGAGCTGGAGCTGGAGCTGGAGCTGGAGCTGGAGCTAGAGCCTTGCCCTTAGCTGGAGCTGTGGCCTCTGCCTTGGTTTGAACCTTGGGCTTTGGTTGGCAGAGCATACGACCCTTAGCCATGTAGCTTTGAATCCGCTTCCCAAACTTGGGGTGAGCGATGAAAGCCAGATGGCTGAGTTTGCCAAGGGCCTTTGGCATCTTGGGTTTAACAGCTGAAGGCTTCACAAGCGCCTTGATGGCCTTTGCTCGTGCACTCATTGCCTTTGCATTGTTTGCTTGCATCTTTTTCAGGCCTTTCTTGTGCTTCTTAGCAAAGCACATGTTCCTCAAGAATTTGGGGTTCACCCAAATTCTTGGGGTTTCTTGATGCCATTTCTGTGCCATTTGCGGGACTGGTTGTGTATGGTACGGTTCTTGGACTTGGCCATGTTTGCATAGTAACCCGTGGCTCCCACAGCGTCTGGGACTGGAAGAGGTGGTTTATCTTTTATGACCTCTACTAAGTCCCAAATTCTAATCGAGGTATTGGCTACTCAAATCAAAGAGTTACAGACACAAATCAACATCCAAATTCCTCATAATACTCCGAAGAGGTTGTTTTCCTGGTTTAAGCACTGTGTTTTTTTTTTTTTTTTAATTTTATTTTTTTCTTATCAGTTACATTTTATTAACTCTGTATCCCAGCCGTGTCCCGATCCCTCATTCCCTCCCAGTCCCTCCCTCCCTCCCTCCCTCCTCTCCACCGTGCCCCTTCCCAAGTCCACTGATAGGGGGGACCTCCTCCCCATTCATCTGATCCTGTTTTATCAGGTATCTTCAGGACTGGCTGCAAAGTTCTCCTCTATGGCCTAACAGGACTGCTCCTCCCTTGGGGGTTGGGGAGGCCAAAGAGCCAGTCATTGAGTTCCTGTTAGAAATAGTCCTTGTTCCCCTCACTATGGGAAGCCAGTTGGTTACTGAGCTACCACAGGCTACATCTGAGCAGAGGTTCTAGGTTACATTCATACATGGTCCTTGGTTGCATGTCAGTCTCAGAAAAGACCCTGTGCCCAGATATATTTGGTCCTTGTGGAGCTCCTATCCTTTCCTCATCAGACTAACTCCCCTTCTTTCTTATGATTCCCTGTACTCTGCCAAAGGTTTGGTCATGAGTCTTTGCTTTGAAAACACTGCTAGTTAGAGTCTTTCAAATGCGCTCAGTAGACTCCTGTCATATGTTCAATGCTCATTCCATCTGTCTTTCTAAAGGAGGATTGATAATCTTCCCCATGTCCGCTCTCTTGATTATCTTTTTTAGGTGTATAGATTTCATTATGTTTATCATATCTTATAGGTCTATATAAGTGAGTATATACCGTGTTTGTCTTTCTCCTTCTGGGATATTTCACTCAGGATGATCTTTTCTAGATCCCACCATTTGCCTGCAAATTTCATGATTTCCTCCTTTTTGATTGCTGAGTAGTATTCCATTGTGTAAAAATACCACAATTTCTGTACCCATTCCTCTGTTGATGGACATCTGGGTTGTTTCCAGGTTCTGGCTATTACAAATAATGCTGCTATAAACATGGTTGAGCAAATATCCCTTTTGTGTACTTGAGCAAACTTTGGGTATATACCTAGCAAGTGGTATAGCTGGGTCTTGAGGAAGCACTATTCCTAATTATCTTAGAAAGCGCCAGATAGATTTCCAGAGTGGTTATATCAGTTTACATTCCCACCAGCAGTGGAGGAGGGTTCCCCTTTCTCCACAACCTCTCCAGCATGTGTTGTCCCTTGAGTTTTTCATCTTGGCCATTCTGATGGGTGTAAGGTGATATCTCAGGGTCGTTTTGATTTGCATTTCCCTGATGGCTAATGAGGATGAGCATTTCTTTAAGTGTTTCTCTGCCATTCGATATTCCTCTGTCGAGAATTCTCTGTTTAGCTCTGTTCCCCATTTTTTAATGGGATTACTTGGTTTGCTGCTTTTCAGCTTCTTTAGTTCTTTGTATATACTCGATATTAGTCCTCTGTCAGATAAAGGGTTAGTGAAGATTCTTTCCCAATCTGTAGGCAGGCGTTTTGTTTTGATGACAGTGTCCTTTGCTTTACAGAAGCTTTTCAGTTTCATGAGGTCTCATTTATTGATTGTTGCTCTTAGAGCCTGTGCTGTTGGTGTTCTGTTCAGGAAGTTGTCTCCTGTGCCAATGAGTCCTAGGCTGTTCCCCACTTTTTCTTCTAACGGGTTTAGAGTATCTGGTTTTATGTTGAGGTCTTTGATCCACTTGGACTTTAGTTTTGTGCAGGGTGATAAATATAGATCTATTTTCATTTTTCTGCATGTGGACATCCAGTTGGACCAGCACCATTTGTTGAAGATGCTGTCTTTTTTCCATTGAATGGTTTTGGCTTCTTTGTCAAAAATCGAGTATTCATAGGTGTGTGGGTTTATTTCTGGGTCTTCTATGCGGTTCCATTGATCTTCCTTTCTGTTTTTGTGCCAATATCATGCAGTTTTTATTACTATTGCTCTGTAGTACAACTGGAGATCGGGGATAGAGATACCTCCAGATGATCTGTTGTTGTACAGGATTGTTTTGGAGATTCTGGGTTTTTTGTTTCTCCATATGAAGCTGAGAATCTTTTTTTCAAGGTCTGTAAAGAATTGAGTTGGTATTTTGATGGGAATTGCATTGAATCTGTAGATTGCTTTTGGCAGGATGGCCATTTTCACAATGTTAATCCTACCAATCCATGAGCACGGGAGATCTTTCCATCTTCTGAGATCTTCTTCAATTTCTTTCTTCAGAGACTTGAAGTTTTTCTCAAACAGGTCTTTCGCTTGCTTAGTTAGTGTCACCCCAAGGTACTTTATGTTATTAGTGGCTATTGTGAAGGGTGTTGTTTCCCTAATTTCTTTCTCGGCCCTTTTGTCTTTGGTATACAGGAGGGCTTCTGATTTTCTTGAGTTGATTTTGTATCCTGCCACTTTGCTGAAGGTGTTTATCAGCTGGAGGAGTTCTCTGGTTGAATTTTTGGGGTCGCTCATATATACTATCATATCATCTGCAAATAGTGACACTTTGACCTCTTCCTTTCCGATTTGTAACCCCTTGATCTCCTTTAGTTGTCTTATTGCTCTGGCTAGGACTTCAAGTACTATGTTGAAGAGGTAGGGAGAGAGTGGGCAGCCTTGTCTTGTCCCTGATTTCAGTGGGATTGATTTAAGTTTCTCTCCATTGAGTTTGATGTTGGCTATAGGCTTGCTGTATATTGCCTTTACTATCTTTAGGTATGTGCCTTGTATCCCTGATCTCTCCAAGACTTTAAACATAAATGGGTGTTGGACTTTGTCAAATGCTTTTTCAGCATCTAAGGAGATGTTCATGTGGTTTTTCTCCTTCAGTTTGTTTATGTGGTGGATTACATTGATGGATTTCGGTATGTTGAACCACCCTTGCATGCCTGGGATGAAGCCTACTTGGTCGTGGTGGATGATATCTTTGATGTGTTCTTGGATTCGATTTACAAGTATTTTATTGAGTATTTTTGTGTCAATGTTCATAAGAGAGATAGGTCTGAAGTTCTCTTTTTTTGTTGGGTCTTTGTGTGGTTTAGGTATCAGGGTGACTGTTGCTTCATAGAATGAGTTTGGTAATGTACCTTCTGTTTCTATTTTGTGGAATAGTTTGAGGAGAATTGGTGTGAGCACTTCTCTGAAGGTCTGGTAGAATTCCGCGCTGAAACCATCTGGCCCAGGGCTTTTTTGGAGGGGAGACTGTGAATGACGGCTTCAATTTCCTTGGGGGATATAGGGCTGTTCAGTCTTTCTACCTGATCTTGACTTAATGTTGGAAGATGGAATCTATCAAGAAAATTGTCCATTTCATTTAGGTTTTCAAATTTTGTGGCATATAGGCTTTTGTAGTATGACCTAATGATTGTTTGAATTTCCTCTGTGTCTGTAATTATGTCACCCTTTTCATCTCTGATTTTGTTGATTTGGATAGATTCTCTCTGCTTTTTAGTTAGTTTGGCTAAGGGTTTGTCTATCTTGTTGATTTTCTCAAAGAACCAGCTTTTTGTTTCATTGATTCTTTGAATAGTTTTATTTTGTTTCTAATTTATTTATTCAGCCCTGAGTTTGATTATTTCCAGCCTTCTGCTCCTCTTGGGTGTATCTGCTTCTTTTTTTTCTAGGGTTTTCAGTTGGGCCATTAAGTTGTTTGTATGTGATGTTACGAATTTCTTTTTGCAGGTACTCAGTGCTATAAATTTTTCTCTGAGCAGTGCTTTCAATGTGTCCCATAAATTTGGGTATGTTGTGCCTTCATTTTCATTGAATTCTATGAAGTCTTTAATTTCTTTCTTTATTTCTTCCTTAACCCAGCTGTCGTTGAGTAACAAGTTGTTCAGTTTCCATGTGCGTGTAGGCTGTTTGTTATTTCTGTTGTTGTTGAGGTCCAGCTTAAGTCCATGGTGGTCAGATAGAATACAAGGGATTATTTCAATCTTTTTGTATCTGTTGAGGCTTAAGCACTGTGTTTTAACAGCTTTGTAATTTTGGACAAATGGTAATCTTTTTGAACCAAAGTTTCATAAGCTATAAAACTGATAAAATTATGCTTATTTGGAAGCACACATATTTTTATTATGTATCATTGTATGTATCACTATGTAATTCAGCTTTTTCTAGCTTTCTTCATATCCTTCAAAATGAATACAATATAGGTTTTACTATCTTTCCTTTTTCTACTTTAGTATTATATTGGGAAGCAGCACAGCACACTGTTAAAAGAATAGGCTCCAATGGCTAGCTACTTGTGTTTGAATCTCAGGCATGCCACCTCATCTCTCTTCCTTCAGTGTCCCCAGCCATAAAATGAGGATAAGGTGCTGTGAAGCTTAATGCGTCAATACACATAAAACACACAGAAACTGTACCTAGTACATAGTAGGTGAAAAATGTTACTATTAAAATAAACAAATAATTACTAAACTATTTGCAGAACCAAGTTGTATATTCAGTATGAACCAAAATGGAGATTTGAAGGAATAAAAGGACGGGTACAATGATTCATTTGAAATGGACTCTTACATTCAATATTCTTTATACAAGGAGCAAGTAGAAGCCTCGCATGGTAGCATGCACCTATAACCCCAGTACTTGGGAGTCAGAAGCAAGTAAATGGTGAGCTGTAGGCCATCCTGGGCTATACAGCCAAGACCTTGTCTCACTAAATAAATAAATAAATTAGGTACATTACTAATGAAGTAAAGAATAGGTATATTACAGAAACTTTCTATTCCTTATTATGCTTATCTGAAAAATGTTTAGTTAATATTAATATAATACTTAAATATATTTTAGTTATTATCTAAAGAGATAACATTTCTCACAATTGAAAATATTTGTTTGTATTTAGACACAATGATGATTATTTAATATTATGTTTTCATAAAAGAACATATACAATATGCACATGCCTTCATTAATTTCAGAACATAAACACTATGAACATGCTTTCATTAATTCATCTAAAAGCAGCAAAGAATGCTAGAGGAGAAAACACAGGGACAACACAGAGGTAAAAACACTGGCTTATTCTGACTCCATTCTACAGACGACTGTCATTCACAGAGATTGCTTAGAATCCTAGAGTTCAGAGTTCTCTATTTCTTCTGAAGCATTCAGGCATAAAGTCTTGTCCCATCCTTCCATTTTTTTTTTTTTTTTTTTTTTTTTTAGGGACCTTAATCCTTAATTATAGAAATACAAGTCTGAGACTAGGGGTGTAGCACAGTGATAGAACACTTGTATAACATGCATGAGGCCCTGAGCTGCATCCCAAGCACTGCCCAAACCAACCAACAAACAAATGCACCTAAAATACGAGAACTTCTATAAAGTTTGGATTATTCCTATCTAGATATATGACAATCTTTTTAATACAAGAGGGAAGCTTCCTTCTTCTAGTTACTTCACTCTATCTACTATTCTATTAAAAAATTTTAAGCTTTAGGTTTCATATCCTGATGTATTCATCCAAAATGAAATACATATTTTCATATAAAGTAGTTGGTACAAACACACATACATGTAAATGCATTTTACAACCAATAAAGTCAATGAAGGCAGGAAATTATCTTTCTATTGCCTGCCTATAGGCAGAACTGAAAAGGTGCTAAATAATATTACTGGTATGACATTTACTAAAAATAATTTAAATTTTAAAATAATAAGCATATTTATTATTTATTACATTTATATGCTCAATTAATTATTTCATAAAAATCATTAGGTACATAATAGTCATTTCTACTTTATTACTTTTTTATTACATTGAAAAAAACTAGAATGTGTGTATGTGCCTGTGTGTATGCATACACATGAGTATCACAGGGCAACTTTTAGGGGTCAGTTCTCTCCTACTGTTTGCGTCTCAGGGATAGAACTTAGGCCATCAGGCTTAGCAACAAGTGGCTTTATCCACTGAGTCCTCTGGTTGGTTACATTGGAACATGGTCTAAGAGTTGTGTGAGGGGAATGCTGAGTGCCTGTGAGAAAACATTACTCATTACAACTTGTTATTGTTTATATACCTCCATGATTGCTGTGTGTAGCCTGTCTTGTCACATGTGGCTTGCTCTTGTCATTTACTCCTGTGACTCCTTTTAACGCCCAGAGTATAAACTGTCTGATGCTCTGGCTATTGGGTGAGACTGTAGTTCACCTCATTTATCATCTCCATTTTCCAGGTCCCACAGCCTCTAGAGCAGTAAACAGTCCCCTATTACTTCTCTTATAAGTGAGGAAACAAAACTTCGAGACGTCCATTAGCTTCTCCAAAGTGGCATAGAACAAGACACTGGAGGCAGACATAGTTACTATAACCAGAGCAAAGCAAACCCATACACACTGTACACTAATGCCCACACCTACTGGACCCTGCTCACCCAGACTGTATTTAAACAGGGGAAAGGGGGCAACGCAAAGTTCACAAAGGATAATGCAGGAGTAGATCAAACCACAGAAATTTTATAAAATGGGATTATTCTCCAACCTCCAACTTTCATTGTATTTTAACTTAAATGGTGACAACATACCACTATTTTAATTGCTTAGTTTTAATCTGTATAACTTACATGCACTTATTTTTGGTTTTCCTGATGCAAAAACTTGAACTGAATGCTGATCTGCATAACATCCAGTCAGTGTATAATCTGAGATCCTAAAATGAAGCTAAGGAAATGAAAGAAATAGTCAACTAAGGTGATTATTTGCTAGGAATCATAATCATATTTTGAAAAATTAAAACATCTATCAAAGGAATAAAATATGCATGCCTTCTATGTTCCAACATAAATTACCCACCCTTGTTATGTAGAAATTATGTTTCTAGCACTTGCTCCTAAAACCTTGTTTACTTCTCTTCACTCTCTTAAGTCACTTTAAAAAATATTTATTATGGCCAGGCGGTGGTGGCACATGCCTTTAATCCCAGTACTCGGGAGGCAGAGGCAGAAAGATCTCTGTGAGTTTGAGGCCAGCCTGGTCTAAGACAGCCAGAGCTGTAAAACAGAGAAACCTTGTTTCAAAATACCAAGTGTACACATACACACACAAAATGTTTATGTAAGCATGTGTATTATGTGGTATGTTGTGAGTACAGGCAAATATATGTCATGTGTGAATATAGGGTCAAAGGACAATGTTGGTTCTCAGTTCCAGGGACTGAACTAGGTTAACGCTTTGGCCCGCTGGGCCATCTTGCTGCTCCTTAGTCCGCTTTTCAAATGAATCTATTGGTCAACTTTCATGCTTATCTTGTCCTCAGGGTCTGCTTTGGGGCTCATGTTTTCTCTGAGACACCAAAAGCAGTACTAATCAATCACTAATTTACACTACTGAAAATCCCCTAGAGAACCAAGGGCTACATCTTATTTAATACAAATCTAATTTGATAACTAAAAGTTGGGCAGTTCAAATTGGAATGTTTAGGTTATTCTTAACTTCTTCCCTTAAATTTTAAGTATTTAGCAAAATAGAAAAACGACTCCTACTGGCCAAGTGTGGATACATGTTTGTAATCCGGGTGTTTAGGAGAGGCTGAGGCAGGAGGCTCACAAGCTTGCACCTTGCTTATGTCATCCAGGGATTTGGAGACCAGTTTGGGCTATGCCAGAGATCCTTAAACAGACAAACCCACTACAAAACAACCACACATACACACCCCAAAACATGTTTCTTTCTTTTTTTCTTTCTTTTTGTTTTTTTGAGACAAGGTTTCTGTGTTACAGCTCTGGCTGTCCTGGAACTCACTCTGTATTCAGGCAGGCATTGAACTCACAAAGATCTACCTGACTTCCCAGTGCTAGGATTAAAGGCGTGAACCACCACTACCACCAGTTGGCTACCAAAAAAATGTTTCTTTAAAAAGACTTAGGTACACATAAGCACAGAATTTTTAAATTTCTGAAAGATACTATATATATAGTTTAGAAATGAAGGGAGGTGTTCTTATGCAATGTTCATATACTTACCTTTACATACGCTGTATTTCCAATGCAAATGTGATCAAATGGCTGCTTGTTAAGGCCCTTGACTCCAAAAGTTAGAGTTCCAGAAAGACTAATTTCCATTGATTTGGGGAACTTCTGGCCTAAAACATAAATGTAACAATTAATTATTCTAAAACAGAAAATTTTACATCAAATGAGGAAAAAAATAAAAACAAAAAACAAAACCTTGCTCACCAATAATCCAGACCAATAAGCTTTTTTCTCGAAATACCTCAAGTTGACCAAAACTAGCTTTGTATTCCAAATGGGTAACTGGACCTCTTTAAAACAAAACAAAACAAAAAAGAAAAATAAAGAAAAAAATCTCAGATAAAAGTTTTAAAAGAGTTAAATCATATCTTGTTACTGTTTTTACATCATAAAAGCACATCTGTATTCCAACTGCAAAAGAGAATAATGAATACAGATCTTAGAAAAGAGCAGAAATCACATAAACATTTACAGTAACTATATATATTACATTAGTATTCCTAGAGACAATTATAAAATCATACAGATTATATTAATATCACATGTATTGGTGCATCTTTAAAATTATGACTTTACTATTTAAGTACACTTTGTAAAGAGCTATTCTGCAGAATATATTTTAAAAGTAGACTGATCTATGTCCTAAGTGGCTAATTCATCAGGTTGTTGGTGGTTAAGACTGAGCTATAAGTAGACTTGAGAAAAACTGATAGAAGACATGGTGTCATATTCATCCCCACCTGTTGTAGAAAGGTATATGAGCTTCACAGATTTCGAAATTATTTTTTACACTTTCATGTAGTTTTAAATTAACTGTTATTTTTAGTTGTACTTCTTCTTCTTGCATGTGATAAGAACCCAATATTGGTGGGACAGGGACCTGAAAATAGACATAACTCTTAATTAACTCTCATGTTAATGAGTCTCAGGTGATAGGGGAAAAAAAAGCCCTATAATAATAGTATATTATAATATAATATTATATTATAATAATAATATTAGAGATAAATACATACCATACACATATAAAATATATACATTAGAATCATTATATTCAGCTATGACCTTAATAGCTATAAGGCTTTCTATATTGCTTTCATAGCTGAAATGGTGGATCTACATTCATCCTGAAGACAGGTTCTTCTGCAACTCTGAACAGAGATGAGAAAGGTACCTTACAGTGCATCCTTGTCCCTACCCGTTCCTCGTGTTCTCAGAACTGCATCACAGGCCACACTCTACACATACTGCTAAGTGTTCTGCCCACAGTTGCGGATGCTCCTTTCCTATCCTGTGACTGTAGTGTTCTCCTTTCCAGGCCCTAGCTCAAGAATGGCTTAACTGGTCATTAATGATATAAGAGGCTGCTATGAGCTAATCCTCTTTTTGTTGATGTTTATTTTTGGTTTTTCAAGACAGGGTTTCTCTGTGTGGCCCTGGCTGTCCTGCAACTTGATTTGTAGACCAGGCTGGCCTCAAACTCACAGAGATCTGCCTGACTCTGCTTCCTGAGTGCTGGAATTAAAGGCATGTGCCACTTATTGGTACATTTGAAGCAAGACAGGGAGATTCTCTAGTTCATGCAGGGCCTAGAGTTGTAAGAGCATGTGCAGCAGAGAAACTCAGAAGAAGGAAGGAAGAGACTCTGGGAAGCAGAGAAGAGACAATGGAGACCTCAAGTATGGAAAGGTTTTAACCTTGGTTCTAAATCTCAATGTAGGGGGGTCTACATCTATCTACTCTTGAATGATAATGAGAATTCCTGTTGGCCTCTCAAAATAAATTACTTGTAGTCAATCTAGCTTGAACAAGATTTTCTAATCTACTGGTTGATAATCAGGACAAGAGTCAAAGGACACGATATAGAAGGAAACATGTTAGGCTTTGGGAATCTGGAAGACCCAGCTTCAAAGCCAGCCTTTGCCACTTATCAGTCAGAGGATTTGAGTAAGTCATTTAACTTCCTTATGATTTTCCTCATCTATCAAAAGGAGGTAACAGCTACTTTAAGATTTGTTGAAATTACTAGAAAAAGACAAGCAAAGTGCCTACAACAGTGTCCAACACAACACTCATGAAGTAAGGCATAAATAGCTACTACTGATATTACATGTTTATTTAGCTAAAATTTCCTAGGATTAGAATTATTTCATGTTTATATTTAAAACCACGACTAATTCATACAATGGTCTATCCTGTGAACTTGGATTCCCAGTTAAAGATTAAAAAGAAAAACTTCACTGACTTTGATAATTAATCTATGATTATAGGCATCAGAGATAGGAGATAGATAGCCTATTCAAAGAACTGAACTTTTATCTTCATTCCCTCCTTGTCTTGTAAATAACTCATGTGAAATCCTCATCAGAGAGCAGTTACAAATTTAACAACAGCCTCAGCTTTTCCAGAAAGGTTTACCTGAGAAGTGTAGTAGCATAAGTTGAATGATTCTAAAGGTGGAGTGAATGGGAATTTGTAAGGCCCACTAAATGCAGAATCATCCATTGTGTCAATGCTACTAGAAGTCAGAATGGCAGAATCAAGAGATGTCACACACGGATGAACAATAATATCTTGAAGTGGAGATCCATTGGTGGGGAGATTCAAGCTGACGGTAACATTTGGCATGCTTCCTTCCAAATCACACTGTAACACAAAAAGAAGTGTTACCAAGATCTTAAAAAAATAGGGCTTCTCTGGCACTTTTCTGAATTCAAGTCGTTTCTCTCAATTTAACTTTTCTTTCTAGGCATTACTTTCTTTGCTTTGTTTTCTGATTAACAATTTGATAAACTGTTAGCAAAGATATCGGTAAGAGAGCCTTCAAGGACCTCTTGGCTTGCCTTTTAGCTCCTATAAAAGTTAGTTTTAAGTTCACTGGTTTCTCTCAGGCCCCTTTGCAATAGGAATTTATATATATATATATATTTTGTATTTACACAGGCCCTCACAATGTTACAGCTCTCTAGCTGTATTTAGACTTGCTTTCCTCTTGTCCATCCAATCTTCATTCCAGTCACATTGCTAAACTGTAATTCAACTTTTGTTCTATTGAATCCAGACTGAGACATTTCAATGGTTCCTCTTTCATTTGGTATACTTTTTTTTTTAAATAATTAAATTTTATTTTATTTTATGTGCCTTAGTGTCAAAGTGTCAGATCCCTTGGAACTGGAGTTACAGACAGTTGTGAGCTGCCATGTGGGTGCTGGGAATTGAACCCTGGTCCTTTGGAAGAGCAGTGCTCTTAACCACTCCAGCCCCCATTTGGTATACTTTTCAGCCTTTTGCTGTTTGGCTTCCATCTAACTCTAATCTACACTTTGACTTAAGCTGCAAATGCACAGAAATCCTGCATTTTTCCTGAATAATACTGTATTGTACTTCTGCTTGAACCTTAACTCCTGCAGGTATGTTTTTCCTTCGCTATAGTATTTTGCTCTTAGTCTGATATGATCGCTTTGTGGGTAAAGGCACTTGCAGCCAAGCTTGGCAGTCTGAGTTTGATCCTGAGAGCTCACCCAAGAAAACCAACTCCTCCAAGTTATCCTCCGACCTCCACATGTGTGCTGTGGCATATGCACCCACACCCCACACTCAACCCACACAAAGACATAAAGGTTTAAAAGAAAGCCATGCACTCTTCACCACACCTAACTCGTTCTGTGATTGTTTTTTTTTGTTGTTGTTGTTGTTGTTTTTTTTTTTTTTTGCAAATACAACAACCCTTTATTCAAGAACCTCTAATTCAGGTATACATGTTACTTCTATCATGTATGAGACCAAGCGTCCCTGGCTGCTACATGTCTAGCAGACAGGTATAGTTAAGAAACAATTGCTTTGAGCAGGGGGAACAACAACACAGCCCTGAGCAGCCATACAGTAGTTAATCCTGCTTTTCTGTGATTGTTTAAGCATACACTGTGCTGTCTTACTGACAGAATACTTTTGCATGTCGATACAGGGAAGTGCCTTCTCTACAGAAAAAAGACTTCCCTATGCGAGCTGGGTTAAGTTTGATAATTGTAGAGTACCCAGGAGAGATTTTATTATCCTTAGGACGTCAAGGAAGGCTCCATAGGTCTTTCCATGAGCCCAGATGGGGTATGTTCACAGCCTTCTCCTTAAATCCCTGCTTTGAGGTTCAACAGACTGAAAGACTGAAATGGCAGTTCTCAGACTTCTCTGTGAACTCTAATTTCTCCACCTATTCCAGTCTCCAGAATGAAGTCTTGAGTGACTTTTTCTATAATCAAAAGAAAAGATTTATTCCCCAGCTCCTCTGGAACTTGGGAATTCTTACTGTTTTTACTTCATAAACCCATACCAACAAACCTTACTTGTGTGTGTATAAATGTGGGTGCAGGGAGGCAGGTATAGTACTTTAATTCTAACTTGACACTTACTTCCTATTTTATTTTTAATTATGTTTCTGTGTGTGAGTCTATATGTGGCCATGAGAATGAACAATGTCTGTGGAAGTCAGATTCAGAAGACAATGGATCCTTCGGAGCTGGAGTTTCAAGCAGTTACTTGTGAGTTGCCTAGTATAGGTACTGAGAACCTAACCCGGGTTCTCTGCAAGAGCAGCAAGCACTCTTATTTGATGAGCCATCTCTCCAAGCCCTGATTTACTTTGTAAAGTACTGGATTCAAATTAGCCAAATGAACCATAAAAGTTCAGTGACACTGTTTGTATGATTAGACACAGAAGGCATTTAATACTACCATTATGGTAATTTGAGCCATGGCTAAGGCTAAGAATCAACCCACACTTCACACAAATAAGAAACTAGGTTCAGGGCTGGAGAGATGGCTCAGAGGTTAAGAACACTGACTGTTCTTCCAAAGGTCTTGAGTTCAATTCCCAATCACCACGTGGTGGCTTATAGCCATCTATAATGAGATCTGGTGCCCTCTTATGGTGCGCAGGCATACCATACAGTCAGAATACTATATAAATAATAAATAAATCTTAAAAAAAAAAAAAAAAAGAAACGAAACTAGGGCCAACTTATCAATGAAGAGAAAAATGTAAACATGTTAACTGCAACACAATATATAACACCCAGGGTGAAAAAAGTGACCTTTTCTGCCTTTGATTACACTGAACTCATGAGAGACAGACTCAGCTTTTTTAAATAGTTGTTCCTAAGAGGATGGATAAATTGAATGTACTTTTGATCACTACAAAAAATTTTAACATAGACAAAACTTTTAGGTTACTTTAATTCAAAAAAAGTAAATTTCCCTGTCTAATTCTTAAAATTTACGTTATTCATAGGACTTACTTATAGTGACTGAATGTTGAATTTACAAAAACATATAAAATAAATAACTAAAAAAGAGATTTGAGAATGCTATGGATACCTATAGATACTGTTTAATTTGAGGACTTTGATTTTGATCATCAACCTGACATTAATCATTGTCTTCTGTATTTGTTCCCACTCTTTTCTCCCATTTTCTAACTCTAAGACAGAAAACTCCACTATTGAGCTATTTAAATAAAACAAGAACCCTCTATCATTTGATGTAAACTCAGAGCACTTGTCAACTTCATCTCCTAGAAAAATAGAAGCTACATTATTTTAACATATATTCACAAGATCTCTGAAAGAACTCTTTTCCAGTAGTAGACCTGATTCCGTGTCTCTTCAGCTTGTCCAGCCTTAGAGTGACTGGCTTTGCACCTAATAAACAGAATGTAGTAGAACTGATGCCATGTGGCTTTTCAGAATAAGTAGTAAAAGCAATGACATTGAATCTCTCTCTCTCTCTCCTCTCTCATACACACACACACACACACACACACACACACACACACACACACACACAATCTGATCTGAAAGAACCAGTCGCCAAGTTGTCAGGGCACTTTAGCAGCCAGTGGAGAAGTTATGCGGAGTGGAACTGTGGCCTCCTCCCATTAGCCAGCACTCAATTGCCAGCATGTGAGTGAGTCATTTTTGCAAGCAGTGCGTTCCAGTCTCAGTCAGATCTTCAGATGACAATAACTCCAACCAACATTTTGACAATGGGCTCATGAGATTCTACACTGGAGGTTCTGGCTAAGCGGCTCCTAAAGTTTTGACTCACAGAACTATGAAGACAGTATCTATTTTAGAGCAATGAGACAATTTATTACATAATAGTCATTAAGTAATCAATTTGTGAGATATCAAAATTTCATGGCTGCTGGTAAGGATAACAAGTGTATCATTGGAAAATGTAAAGTGCAAGTTGCAAATTTACTGTTCTTCAGTGTTACGTGTTATGACAAGGCAAATCCTGGAGAAAACCTTACCTTGCAAGTGACTGTTCCAACAACTTGCCATGTGTCTGCTATATCCTGTTTACCATACTGCATGCATTTTACTTTTTCAGTGATAGAAATAGAAATCTGTGCTTTCCCTTTGTATGTTCCAACTTTCCAGGCTGGCTGTTTTTGCTGCTGAGTCACAGATGCGAAATTAAGACTAGTCAGTGAATTGTGCAAGTTAGCATCCAATAAAGTACCCAGTGGACAAGCCTGTAGAAGCAAGTCAGGCAACTGATTCAATTTTGTGTTTAGGTCAGTGTCATTTTTCTGACTCGAGTAAAGAAAATCCTGTATCCCAAAAAGCAGTTCCAAGCCTTGCGAAACTCCACTAATACTAATCAAAGGTGGGCGAGGAGCCAGAGCTTGTTCAACGAGTGGCACACTTGCATATACCATGTCATTCCTCAGAAAAGCAACGACTGGCCAGAGTTCTTCGCCTCCTACTGAAAGCCCGTAGATGGATGCTTTATTGATGTGTGAACAGCTATCACGCCTCTCCACGAAGTCCTTATCATCATCCAATAATCTAAGCTGGAAGAGTAATGCTTTAAGGAAGGGACCATCTTCAGGTACAGGAACATAACTCAGTCCATTGAGGATTCTGGCTCGCTTTTCAACAGTAGGATATCGTCTGCATTTGGGAAACAAACATTACAAATGACTGTCCCAAGGAAAATAAAAAACGGGAGAATTAAAAGGTTTTAAAACACAAGGCAAACAATCATAACAATAAGAAATAAAGGAACAAATAAATAATACAGATTAGAAAAGAAAATTAAACCATTAAACCTGTTAAGTTCTAACCGGAGCCAAGGACTTCATAACTAGTATGTTATCTCAAATGACAAAATGTACTATGTACTATTGAGAATTATGGACTCAATTTAATTAGTTTTTTAAATACGTAGAGTACATGATTCTAATTCAAAACCTTTGTGTTTTAGTTACTCAGATTCCTTCTTGGTAGCTGTCATTGTTAATCCTGAATGTCAACTTGATGGGATTTAGCGGTTATGGAAACAGATCTCTGGGTATGTCTGTGGGTCTTTGGGTTGATGTTGGAAGTTCCACCCTGAACATGGGGGGTGTTGTCATTCCATGGGCTGGGCTCCTGAACTGAATGAAATGGAGAAAGAGAATGGGGCAGCAGAATTCAGTGCTCTCTGCTTCCTGACTGCAGATCCAATGTGGTCAGCTGCCTCATGCTCCTGGACCATGTCTTCTCCACCCTGAAGGACTGTACCCTCAAGTTGTGAGCCAAAATAAATCCCTTTTTTCTTTTAGGTATCTATAATAAGCTTTAAAAAAAAAATTCATCTTAGTAGATTAGTCACAAAGTGTTCATATTTAACCCTAAACTTTTAGATTCATTTACTTAAGTAATATTAAGTTTGTAAAATAGCTAACAGATGTCTTGAATATTTTATCAATCCTTGCAAAAATATGAAAGATCATTTTAGTAATAATGGCTTAGTGATATAGCTCTGAATGATATTTTGAGATTAAAAAAAAAAGAAAATCAAATTAATCATTTATGGTTTATGTACTCTGGGTAGATGCAAATTTACTTATTTATTTGTTCCCACCACAAAAAAGAATATGCTTAGGCACATTCAATCATTTATAAGAATCCATTAATCACAGTCACACCTTCCTCCAAGGCCAAGGAGAGAACCCAAGGTCTTAGCAAGCTATTTACCATTGACCTCAATCAGCAGGTGCTAAACACAGTTTTTGACTTTCAACTAGTAGAATTTTCTTTATTCCTTTTTCTCCTACTTTAAAGTCCAGAATAAAGTCATCTACTAACTACTCATTTTTTGAGAAATAAGCTAACTCTCTGTGATGGCTATTCTTGGTTGTCAATTTGACTATATCTGGAATGAACTAAAACCCAAGTGGCAGGCACACCTGTGAGGGATTTCTTTTTTCCTTAATTAAATCATTCTAATCCAGATTTTTGAGGTAGGAAGATCTTCCTTTAGTCTGGGCCACATCTTCTCACATTTTCTGCTGGCACCTGTATAAAGGACATGGAAGAAGGAAGCTTGTTCTCTCTCTCTTAGCCTGCTTCCCTTCACTCTTGCCCGCAAGTCCATGCCTGCACTGGTATCAGAGCCTACTTCTTGGCAATTCCAGTGTATATTAATGCCCAGCTGTGACATCTTGGACCAAACAATTACTGGATTCTTAAAATTTTTCCATTGCTAGAGAGCCATTGTTGGACTAGCTGGACCACAGCCTGTAAGTCACTTTAATAAATCTCTTTATATATATGTATATATATTCATATATTCACTTATATATATGAATGTCAAGGGGTATATCTCAGTGGAAGAGTATGTATTTAGCATGTATGAAATATTGAGTTCAATCTCCAGTACCAAAACAAACAAAAAACTAGCAAATGGATAGTAAGTATTTGTTTTTATAATTTTCATAACAATATTTTTCTCTACTATGATGCTAATGTTTCATAATAATTAAAAATGCACTAAAATGGTCCATTAATTAATGGATCTTCTTCACTTAGATTCTTTGGGGAAAATTAGCTAGTACATCATTAGTGACCTGTCTTATTTTCTAGTTACCTGGAGGATAAAATTCTTAAGTAGAAAACCCTCATAGTTGAACATAAAGAAAATAAATTAATATGGGACCTTAAACAATGCTTCAGTATGTGTTTAATGAACTTTCTGTTGGATGACTTAATCTGTCATTTCAAACTAATCTAAGTTTTGTTTCAAGACAGGATTCAAGCCTTAAGTGTCCCTATTGCTATGAGATTAAATACCAACCTGGGCTGCACTTCAGCTGATATTATAAATCATTGCCTTCTTTTATCTTAAATGATAGCCACTACTCTCTGGCCTGTATATAGAGTATATGTAATAGTGTGAACTCTGGGTTGAGGCAGAGTAACTATGATGGCCCAGCCAAGACCCTGACAGGAACCTCTCAAGGCCTTCCCTCCGCAAAACATCAACTACTACCGTACTGTCTTGGGTGACTTTGGCTGGTGTGTATTCTTATGAGTCATCCATGTTCCCTTAAGTAACTCCAATGCTGGTCTGCCAAGCTCAACTTGAATAGATTCCTTTGGTCTGTTGCTGTCCTTTAGATGTAGGGTTATTACAATTTCTTTACATCTTTATGTAAAAGGTTATAGAACATATGCTAATTCATATCTGTGAGCCTTAACATCAGTTCCAAGTGGCCAGATATCTGAAAATGCAAAACTTTCCAAAATTGGCAATTTGTTCAACACAGAATTAAAGTGACACATAGATGAATTATGTGACACCCCCCCCCCCAACTTGCTACCTTCATGGAGACGTAGTAAAACCTCTCAGCATATTTGAATGTACCTTTAAAAGTATATAATATGCACAACTGAGAAAGCATTCTGAAAAATAATACAATTTTTCCTTTAAAATATTTATTTTTGTCATTTTTCAATTATGTGTATATATGTGGAGGGGTGGGGGTAAGCATGTGAATTTGAGTGCAGATGGCTTTGGAGTCTAGAAGAGGATGTTGGATCCAGTGGGACTACAGTTAGTTAATGGTGGCTGGTGAACTGTCCCATATGGGTGATGTGAAGCAAACTCTCTCTGGTTCTCTAGAAGAGCATGTTCTCAATTACTGAGCATCTCTTCAGCACTATATGACTTCCTCAAAGAACTTAACATTCTCAATCAACAAAAAGTATCACTTCTACCTGATACAATGTTAAGATACAAATTTTATATACACATAAAATCAGAACACTGGCACAAAAAGACAAATAGAATAGAGATAGACCAATGTTTATATAAAGGAATACAACAAACATCAATAGTGAGTCAAAGAAGAAAAGATACAGGGCTTATAGGAGATGTTAGGAAAACTGTCAAAAAGTATAAAAAAAAACTGAGATTCTCATTCAACACCATATCCAAAGATACACCTGAAATGGACTAAAGGTTTAAACATAACAAATAAAATAATACAAAATGGATAAAATGGTATCTTTGGAAAGTAAGGGTTATTCACAGAAAAGGAAACCCAAGAGACTAACAAATATTGTTACAGAAAAATACACAATTAGAAAGCAGATCTCCTTTATTGTTAAAATTAGAATAAGAGTTAGGAAAGTATAGAAATACAATAATTTCTAATGAATGGGTTAGCACTCAGGGAAGCTGTTTGTCAACATTTTGTCAAAATCAGTATAGACATGTCCTAAGTCCCTGTCTGAGTAGTGCAGCACTGTTTTGAATTAGAAAGGAAGTTTGGATCTATCATTAAGCAATCTAGGTGGAAAAAAGCATATATTCCTACAGATCAAATATCTAGATCTGCATTGACCAATATGGTAGACACTAGGTACATGTGCTATTTAAACTGAAGCAAAACTAACTGAGGCGGAACATGGTTGAGGCACACCATTAATCTTAGCACTCCTGGAGCAGAGGAAGGAGGATATCTATGAGTTTGTGGCTAGCCTGGTCTACATAGTGAGTTCTGGGTCAGCCAGTGCTACACAGTGAGGCTCTGTTTCAAAACAACAGCTACAAAAATTTAATAACGGAGTTCCTCTGTTACACCACCCAACATGTGCTTGCTGGCTTATAACATTAGCAGAGTTAGAACTGGTCACATTTCTATAATGCAAGAAGTTCTATTTTATGTTGCTGCTTTACAAGAGCACAAAGCTGCTCAGTAAATACAGGTTTCTTAGAAATACTGCCCAAAACAGGAAACAACCCCAAGAACTGACAAGTGGGATCACATAAATTTAAAATGTTTCTGCAAAGGAAATAAAACTACAAGTGGAGAGACAGCCTATAGATTAGGAAAAAAACATCTTAGCTATACTTTATAAAGGAGTTAATATCTAGTATAAAGAACTGTATAGTCCTCTCCATAGAGTTATTTTGGCAAGATATGGAAAATTCTAAATAAAAGTGGAATCAAATCACTTATGACACCTAGGAAAAAGTGACTGTAATTTTTCATACATCCTCGTATTTTGTTCAACTATGAGAAGCTGCAAACTGTAAGACGAAAATAACAGTCTATTGCTCGACAAGGAGTTTCTGTAAGAATGAATTAAAATATTTTGCAACATTTTGGTCACTGAAAGTTCAAAATCCCGAAACATATTTAGTACTCAGTCTTTTTTTGTTTTTTTTTTTTCATCATTTCTACACCAATACTAAACAGATGGAATTCATTTTAAGATATAATAATACAGCCGGGTATGGTGGTCCACACCTTTAAATCCCAACCACTCCAGAGGCAGAGACAGCCAGGTATCTGTAAATTCAAGGCCAGCCTGGTCTACATTTCGAGTTCCAGGATAGCCGGGGGTAAATGAATCCTGTCTCCAAAAAAAGATAACAATAATTGTAACATGAGAAGACATGTGTCAAGCAACTCCTATCTTAACACAATGTGAGATAAGCATTCAAAGCTTAACTTGCCCCAGGGCACTCAGCTAGCGGTTCCTGGCAGATCTGAGGTTCAGTGCACCACAAAAAAGCCTGCTACATCATCCACCCCTGGACCCGTCGTGTTTGAGGATCCAGACTTGCAACTACCTGGAGAATCTGACGGTGCCGCTAAGTGGAGTTCCCGGTTCGTGACGTATGAGCCACACCGCCCGCTGGGCCATGGTTAAGCCGCCGAAGAATCAGATCATTACAGACGGTCGCCAGCCAGCCGGAGCAGAAACGTCTTCTGGACAGACTCCACAGACAGCGTCGGGGCTCTCCCTGCGCCGCGAGAGCTCGCCGGAGACCCTCGCTCTTCCCGGCGCGGTGACTGGAACGGCCTCACTTCCGGGATGGCGGCCGACGAGGCTCAAGACGCCGCACCAGCGCGCAGGCCCGCGTCCCCGCGGCCCGCCCGCCGCCCGCTCCTCTCGCCCGCCCCGCCGAGGCCGCCGGGCGCGCGCAGCTCCACTTCCGGCGCGTGAGGCGATGACAATGGGAGCGGCGCGGGCGGCGCCGGGAGGCAGCTGACAGGCGTCTGCGGCTCCGCTTCATGGCCGCTCTCCCGGGCTGCCTTCGCCGTGTGAGGACCCGGGCAGCCCGCGGAGGTCCGCAGCCGGGGCCGGGCGCGGCAGGCGGGGCCGGGACGGGTGAGCGGCGCCGCTGAGGCGCAGCATGTGAAGCGAGACGGCCTCGGGCGCGGGGCGAGCCTCTCTGCCGGCCGGCATGGCCACGACGGCCGAGCTCTTCGAGGTGGGTCCCGGGCTCCGCGGCGGGGGAGGGGCAGAGCGGCCCGGGCGGCGCGGGGCGCGGGGCGGCGGAGGCCCTGCGCCCGACGAGGGGTGGGCAGCTGCGTCGGAGCCCAGCGCGGGCCAGCCGGGTCTTGCCGCGCGGCTCCTGCGGCCGTGCTCCGGGACCCCTTGAATGGAGAGTCTCGACGGCTTCCCCCCGTGGACGTTCCTCCGGGCTAGACGGGGCGCTGGGGTGCCTGCCGGCCTGCCCTTCGGTGGGGAAGGCTGGGAGGGTCCTTTTTAGGACAGTAAGGGCCTACTTGGCCTTGCCAACGAAGCGACACGTCTTCTGGCACTTAATTACTGTGGAACCACCCAGCTGCTAGTCAGAGAATCCCTAAGGTGCGAGAGGCTGTGGGCGTTCAGGTGTGGTTTTTTGAGTGTTTCAGTGTTTGAACCTAAAACTGGATTTTGTGGTAAGAAGCTGTGATGTCTGATGGGATGGATTACAAAACAATGAAACACTATCTATTTTTGTGAAAGGAAATAGTAGAGATATGAAGAAAAAAATGAAGGATTCACCATCTCCCCGGTTGGGGCGTGATCACTTCAGAACAACAAAAGTGTAACTTTGTAAAGAACACTGCAATTCACAGTTAAGAATTTCACCATAGGTGAAAATTGTATCTTTCTGGTTTGAGTATCAGCATGTTTTTTGGCTTGAGTTTTAAATACCATAGTTTTTTTTGTAATAAATCGAACTTTTCACTGTTAGTTTTTTTGTTACTACACCTTGACTTGGCAATCATCCCTAGCGTAGAAATTGCATTTGTTAGAGAAACAAATTGCCTAAATTGTAAGCAGTAATGAAAGTGATTTGCGTAAAGGATTGCAGTTACACTTAAGAAAAATTTATTGCTTTTCCTCAGATGTAAGTGTCTGGGGATATATTAACATTAGCTTATCTAGTCACAAAATTCTGCCATCTGTTTACAAACAGTAGGCCGGGAAATGGTCTTAGCTGTGTGTCCTTAGTCAAGATACTAGGTAATTCTGTAATCCCGTTTCAGTTTTTACATTTTACCGGATTTCTGATCTCTAAATAATGAACTTCATGACAAGCTCCTTATTAACAGAAAACCATTCCATTATCTTACTGTTATGAGTTCTCTTTAACATTCACACTTTAGTCTTGAATCATATTTTCTTCTTTAGATGTATGTCCAAGATGAGTCTAGTGACTTATTTGAAAACTGTTTTTTATTTCCAGAGATGAAGACGAGTGAAGAAATTTATATTTTGTCCTTTAGGTCTTGCCATTTAGTAAAGTTGTTAAGTTTGTTCAGGGTAGTGACACCATTTCTGTAGTAGCTGTAGTTCTGTAGATTAGAAAGTCAATGATGATATAATCATTAGATTTGTAGAGTAAATACGAATATTGATAGGTGTTATAACTCGAGTGTTTCCACGCCCCACCCCCATCATGTCATATAGTTTCATCAAAATTAAAATATAATAATTGCAATGAAATATTATCAGTTATAGATAATTAATTTGTTTGTCTTTTCCAGGATGGCTATGAGTCTAGCCTTGCAATAGACTCTGCTCACGAATAAACCTTCATTCTCCAAGTGAAAAGTTGACTACTTTACTATAGAGAGGGGAGAAGGAAAAAGGCCCCAGTCATTTCCTGCAGCTACTGCAACCAGTATAGGTTGCAGGTTAAGTCAGGCAATGTCTTTTTCTCCTACTTCCCATTCTGAGTCACAGCTGGATAACTGGGGAAAACAGAGCAGGATGTCTTCCAGGCTATTCTGTCTTTATGCATCCTGGTTTTCATGTACTACTAAATAGAATTGTACTTTCATTTTCCACATTAGAGAACTTAAATGGAAACAAAGTTGAGCTTTGAACCTATGAAATCTTATTGTTAACTCCGCTTTTTATAAAACCTTATTGATTTGGTGACTCACCCTTTTTTTAACAGTCAACTTCTGACAATAAAATCAAACTGTAGCTCTTTCCTCAGTTGACAGAATGATTTATTAATAGATGACTCAGTTATTGCATTAATGGATATCCTGGAAGTTGCCCAGAATACCTTCTTAGTTTCACTCTTTGTTGACAGTCTTTCTGAAAGAATCCATGTGTGGTGTTTTTAAGTAATAAACTCAGGATGGCCTATCTGAACCGAGACTCCTTAGTGGTTTGGATTAACAATATATCTGGCATGTAAAAAAAATGACGAGGGTAGTAAATTCCTGTGGCTGCAGACATTGGCCTTTTATTTGTACTACTGAAGATACTTCCTTCTCCTGTGCTGACTGTCTCTCCTGTCATTCTTACTGATTATTTCCATTTCTCTTTCCAGGTTGCATTTTATAGGAGAGTTCTTTGTTAAAAGCTAGGGCCAGTTATTCAGTCAGTAAATATTTTTGACCACTATCAACTTCAAGTTAAAGTGCTAAAGTTGACAACACTGCATGTCTTATTGGACATGCCACAGAAAAGTCTGGCATTCCAGGGATTGGGGTAAAGTTCATCAAGTAAAGTTATAGATGGGATAGACAGATGAGTTAGCTGATAAACGTGGTGTAGAGGAAGGGATACTCCTCCTTCTGTGGAATAATTAGGGAAAGTTTCACATAGTAATATGGCAAGTTAGGTATTGCTAATTAGGGATAGTTTGGGAAGGTTTCACATAGTAGTAGAATGTAAGGTAGGTATTGTTAGATGAGTGGAAACTTCAAACAGGAGACGGTAACTCTCCTGTTTGTAAGATGAAGGGTGTTTAGGAAATACTGAGACAAGGGGGATGATCTGTCTGTGTGTGTGTGTGTGTGTGTGTGTGTGTGTGTGTGAAGTAGTTGCTCATGGCAAGTCTTTGAGATAACAGAGTTTGAGGAAGTTTTGAGAAAGCTTTTCTAGGTCATGCGGAAAGGAGCTGATGACTTTTTTCTAGTAGTCTCCAGTGAGTCATCTGACTTAAATGTTAGTGTGAAGAATGGCCTTCAGTGGGGATTGTTGATAGTCTGTCATTGTCATTCACATCTATTCTTGTCATTAGAGATCCTTCCAAATTGTCTGGTATTGATTGATTAACCCAGAAGGTAAAATAATTTAATGGGCACAGAAAAATCAGAGAATTAGGGAAGGCATTTTGGAAAAGAATGAAAAGAATTTGGTTCCTGAGAAGTTAATTTATATGTGTAAAGTTGAGAAAGGAGGTGTTTGATGATACATTAACTGCAGCAAAGAAAATTGGTAGGGCCCTTTCAGGGAGAAGAAATAATATATTAATTTTAACTGTGTATTAAGGAGAGAAGGAATGCATTTTTTTAAAGTATATATTAGGCTGGATCTAGTGGTAATAGTCTATAACCCCAGTTACTCTATAGACCACTGTAGGGTTGCTAGTTCAAGGACTATGACACAACTTATTTTCTTGTCTCAAAATAAAAAGCAAAAAGAGGACTGAGGATATAGCTGAGTGCTTGACTAGTTCATAGAAGGGCCCAAGTTCAATCCATGGTATTGCAAAAAGGAGGGGGTAAAAAAGTATAGATTAAAGCTAGGTATTATAGCATATACCTGTAATCCCAGCAGCTGGGAGGTGGGCAGGAGAATCAGGAGTTCACGATAAACTTGGCTACAGAGTGAAACACCTTTACAAAAAGCTAAAAATAACAAAACTACAAAAAGGGCTTTAGCAAGGTATCATATGAAGATATCAAAAGGCAATAAGAATTAACTTTAAATAGGAATAAGTAACTCAGAAGGAAGTCACAGCTAGTTTTAGTAGTTTAAAAATTGTTGCTCTATATGGATAATAACTTAGGCCTGGGAATAGATCACATCTCTTAACTCTACATCTCAGTAGATCTGAGCAAATAACCTGTTTTCTTTGCACCTCAGTTTTCTCATCTGTAGAATGGAGAGAATAATAGTTTCTACTTCAGAAGGTTAGTCTGAAGATTTCCTTAAGTTTTTACTTCAGGAGCAGGGGAACATTGAAGCTTTACCTTAAATTTGATAAACTACCCAGAAGAATACAGTTAAAATAATACTAGCCACGTAGAATTTAAGTTGATTAATAAGACAGAAGGGACGGTAGCACATATTTGTGATTCTGGCACTGGGGTTGCAGAGCAGGAAGAGTGTGAATTTGAAGTGAGCTTGAGTGACATGGTGAGTTGTGTCCCCCCAACTCCACACACACACACACACACACACACACACACACACACACACACACACGCACACACGCACACACGAAAGACGAGATTCACCATCTGTGTGGGAACCTTTCAGAGTAGACTGAGAAGTCCTGTCATTAAGGAGTGACAGCAGACTACAATGAGAGAATTACAGAAGTGTGTGGAAGGTTATAGTTGCGATGTCCGCAACAAGGTCTGTCATCCAACAATGTGGCTTTCACTCATTCTCTGGGGCTGTGCTTTTTCATGATTTGGAAAGTTGAAGAAAGGCATTTATTGGGCAAGAGGAAACACACATGGCAACAAACCCAGAGAAAAAGACTTCTCAAAGCAGAGGTGGGACCCAGAAAACTAAAACACTCATCGACAGTGTTTTAAAACTCAGCAATTTCATTTAGATACTTTGAGCTAACTTCTCTGATGTTCTCATTTCTTGGAATTGAAATAAAATAAGAAAGAAATGAGATGAAAGAATTGAGCTAGGCTGATATTTAAAGACTATTCTTGCTTTTAAATTTTTAAA